CAAGCACTTTTCTCTCTCTAAGCATCATAAACCCATCAGAAGTTCTCATAAACCTTCCTCTCTCAGTGTATTTTTCCTGGCCTACTACTCCAGATACAGATAAGATAAACTAACAAACAACTACACAGTCCACATGGGAATACAGCAAATAAGCTAAGAATTCCAGTAAAAGCATTCTAAAGTAATTTAAGCCAGTTCATATTGGAAAAACAGCAAAGATACACTTATTTTGGTCCAGTGATCAATACTAGTGATTTCAGCTGTTTGCAGCTGGAATGATGACAACACATAAGTCTTTAGACCAGCCTGTTACCACACCATCAACTATGAATTAATATTTTATGGAATATTTTTCTCCTTAAATCCATTGGACTCTCTTGCCAAGTAAACATCATTGCAATGTTTCCCACATGGTTTTAGAAAGTTACACTAATTGTCCTAGTATGTAACAAATCTTATTATTGACCTCCACAGCATTGATTTTTATTAAGCACAGTTCAAAAGGGCAAGGACCACACATACACCAGTTTAACACTGTTTTAACTACTACTCTTGTTTTAATTACTTTAGTCTCACTCGTGATATTTTTCAAGATGTGGATGAACAATGAAAGCTAATTACTCAGGAAACAACAGTGCCTTATTTCACAGCACAAATTCATGCCAGTGCACTAGTCGTCCTGTTAGTCTCCAAGACAGGAAAAATACTTACATTGAAATGAGATTATCCTTAGATTTTCTTATCTTTTTACCCTGAAACAATAACAGCCAAACATCACATTCAAGGAGGTTCATATGAATATATACTCTGAATCATCTACAATATGCTGCACAGTTACAATTGGGCTGTTTACCTTTTCAAAAACAACAAAAAGAGCATCTTCCTCCTCCTTCCCACTCCCAAAACAAAACGCAAAATGAAGAGAAAAAGGCAAAATGAAGAGAAAGGAAATAATTTATTAGATATTTCACAAACAAACATACATTTATCATGTAAGTCTTGTGACAGTTTAAAGAGATCTGGAATCTTTAAGATGAGAAAATTTATACTCTGCCTTAAATACTTTAGAAATGCTACTACGCACAGTTCAAGAGTCCCGGTGATTATACTGCTTCTTCCCCCAGCTTGATAATACTTGAAAGAGATGGAACACAAAAGGGACCTGGAACATCACAAAGGCATGTTAAAAGTACGAACAATCAGAAAATAGTAGTGTTATGCTTTCTTTTGACAACTAAATTGAAAGATGCTTAATATTTAGAAAAGTGCTGAATGTCTGAAAAAAATCTGATTCAGTAGATGCAGGCTGTATTAATTTTATATTACAGTAAGTTAAACAATAATGTAATATGAAACCCACAGGAAAAATGTCACTGGCAACAACACTACCCCAGTGCAGAGAACAATCTAAAAAAAAAATCAACAGAAAGGTAGCAGTGATTAATAGTTGATTAATTGTTCAAGACCAAATACTTCATTGCAAGATACTGTTAGATTTTCTCCTCTGCTCAAAAAAGAGAAAGTAAGGAATGTACAAACTAAGTCAACTACAGATTGTTTCTCATATACCAGGACAACAGTAGTCATTAAATTATCTAAAATACTGCTCAACCCTTTTATATTAAGAATTGCTCTGCAACATATTTTAACCAATTATAATATTTATTTTAAGAAAAACAAGTAGACATCCTCAGTGTAAGCTCAGCATAGCTCCACGCACATCAGTGGAACACTTCTAGCTCATACAAGCTAAGGAATTGGACTACAAATTAGCAAGTTATATGATCTCTGCAGAAGGTGGTGAAGGCTACCTTTTAAGACTAGGAACCTTCATTGTGTCTATTCACACAACACAGACAACTCATTGATTTTATTTTTTTTCCCCCTGAAAAAGTGCCCTTTGCTTTTAAAATTACCAGATTAGTTCAAGCTCTAAAACATGTAAACTCCTCCCCACACCTACTCTACACGAAAACTTAGATGTAGTTGAGTGCTATGGGAAACATTGCACAAAAAAGGATACAACAAGAAAGGATACACTCTGCATGACAGTATTACTGCAGTATTTACGCAGGAATGTTTCTAAAGAAGAACAGCAGAATGTGGTTTAATTTTACTTGATTTTCAGTATTGCATACACATAACTTTACACTACCTATCAAAAGCAAATATGCCTCTCTGATAAAATACAGTTTTAACCCCTTACGAGATTTAATGAGGGCTGATGAGTCCAACAACACTAAACTCCATATTCAAAAGTAAATACATTTTTTGATGACTTGAACTACTAGGACAGCACCAGATTTTTCTGTCTCATTAAGATTCCTTCAAGTCTTTGCCATTTTACAGACTCACTTTTTCCATCAGGTACAAAACCCAATCATGTTTCCATATAATGCAGGCTTTCAAATCACTTCTTCTCTATGAAGAAGCTGAAGACCTCTCAACATCAGTTTCGTCTATATAACCTTTCTACCAAAAAGCTGTATTTTAGGTACAGAAAAGATAGTCACTCCAAATACTAACTGAAATTTTTGCCAGTCCATCAAGAAAAAGACATTTCAGCCAGCAAGGAGTTACATAGTATTTTTATAAACCATCTATATTATTTTCTTTACAAAGGATAAAACCTCTGTAGAGAAGATACTAAAAAAAATAATATTTGCAATAATATTCATGAATTTAACACAGCTTCTTCCTGTTTAAAAATAATCAAAAGTTTAACTTTTGTCAATTTAGTAGTTAAAAAAAAATGAACAACAACATGAGATGCAGGATACAGATCAAATCTAAAGTCCCTCAAATGTTTGCATAGATTTGTTTTATATGCATATTTATGTCTCAAATGAGATTCTGACACTGTTCTTCCTTACAGACTCAGATTTCTATCATGGAACTTTGCATCACAAATCATCATCCATCAGAATATTCCAGCAGGAACAGGAAAACACAGTCATGCAGAAATAGGGTTCAGTTTCACCGTTAGGAAGCAAAAAGAATATTTTTAATTAAACCTCATAGATCCCTAGAAATCTGTATTGTCTATGGCACATTCTGTGATCTTTACATATAAACGGCCAAGGTAAGGAAGAACTTCTGCCCATGATATACTAAACTAATGACACCAAGGTAACTCATGTAAGACTACCAGGTGCAAAAATAAGTCTTGCATAAGTACATGTTTGCTCACTCTAAAAAAAGGTTCTGACTTGACCATCAACATGATTAATAACCAAATAAGCACCTTGTTATTTTCTTCATGTAAGTCAAGTATTATTTAGCATGTTTAGTGAAGTCAGAATTAGATTTAATGTACAGAATTAGTTAGAAAGATACTGAATTCCTAAAAGAATAAGTGTTCGGACTTCATTTATAAGGCTTTCCAATAGCTAAAATACTTCAAGATTCTTTTTTGCATTTAAAGAAGCCTTAGTAGTTTTCTTCTTATTAGACACTGGATAAACTAAGTACGAGGTTTTTTTCTAACAAGGAAGGAGTAAGAAACAAGACTGAAACATTCCCATAAACCCTTGTTCATAACAGAATACTTTAGCCAAGGCTCATTTGTCTCTTCAATGACCAGTATAGAAGAATGCCTGTAGAAAAAGTGATCTTTAATTTGATAAAATAAAATACAGATTTTGCAAACCACAAATCAATAACTCAAACTAGGAACTGGTAAGACCAAATAGCATCTCAAATGAGGGAAACAAGCTCAGATATAATCTGATGAAAACATCCTTTAGACAACTGACATAACAAGAAACCTACAATTGAAGTAACTGTTACAAATAGAAATACTATGCTCACAATATCTATACTGTGGGATCTCCAACCAATTTTTAAAAATTAAAAACAGCTGTTCACATCCTTTATTGAAAACTTCAGGGTTTTTTCCAAAGTAATAAAGACCAAAACATCCAGATCAAAAACATATCATGGCTTAAGTAGAACATTTCAAAAGTATACAGCCTAAGCTTTGAGTTCATTTGGTCTTAGGTGGAGGCATAACCAGAGTGATGCCCAACTGTAATACGTAATTAAGTTAAATGCTCTTTAAATTTGAGCTAGCTGATCTATCAGAGGGTGCAGATCAATAAATAAGCACTTCTAATTCTTGCATCAGTTACTTTACACGATAATTTGAGACAGTTCACTACTCAAATATTTTTAGGCCATAAAACCTCTCACAGTTAAGTTAGAGCTGATTTTGCTTGAGTTACTCTGACATAAAGCAAATACTAGAGTAAACAGTAGTGAAGTAAAGCTACGTGATAGGACATAAAGTTAAATAGTGATTACTTTCTGCTAAAAGTTACTTTCCCATGAAGTTTAGGCAATAATGCCAAAAAACAAGACTTATGCATTCTACAACAAAGGAAGCCCTGATCAATGCAGCATTAAGTAGAGTTTTCTGACACAATATCCTTTCCTAAATCAGACAAGGTTAAAGGATGCTGCAACAGCACTAGGATCTTATTTTCCAAACTTAGCAAAGCTCCCTTTACAGAGTTAACAGAAGCAAGTTTATTGCTGGAAACAATTCTTCAGGATCACTTTACAATGGTGGGAAAGGAAGAGAAGGTGAAAAGGGGGAACTCTTTTCAAAGTCAAAACCCCAGATTACTAAAAGGTAAGTGGTCTGATTCCACAGAATTACTCGCCTTAGCTCCCCAGATTAAGGATTAGAGAAACTGACAACTACCCCAGGATATCAGGATTAGGGAAATGGCAGTCTCCAAATTTCTAAACAGACGAAGAAGCAACATTATAAGCTTACACCAACTATACACTTCGCATTCTGGTTTTCTGACATAAGTGCACATTTAAGAAAAGAAAATTGTATAGAATATTTCCCCTCTACCATCACTATTCCTAAAGAAGCCATTAAAAAGATAATAAATAAAAACAAACAAAAAACTCCCAAGAAAACAAATTAACAAAAAAACCCAGCCTATTTCTTTACTTCCAGGTAGAGACACCATACCTTGTGCAGTGTTCTATTTTTTTCTTTTCCCTTCATTGGCATCCTGTTTTGGTCTAGCTGAACGAGCAAATTGCTGAGATTCTGTTAAGGACTACAAGTGTCAATGATAAACAGAAGCCAATCAAGAAGCAAAAAAGAAGTATTATTTCAGCAAAAGACAGTTTAAAGAGTGGCCTTTACCTGTGAATCAGTTCTACCACAGTATTAAGTATTGCAACAATAGTGTCTATTAGTCAAAGATTAGGACCTACTGATCTGCAGTACAAAAAATTTTAAGACAGTACTGAAACTCTTGGACAGGCTAAGTGAATACGGAGGACTAACTGGGAACGGGTTAGGTGCAAACAGATTAACTACACCAGGATAAATACTTGACAACTACAATCCTCCATCCCAGCATGTTAATTCCGTAACTTTGACGTCTCAGTAGGTATTTCAGAGGAAAAAAGGTAAAAGGAACAGAGGTTGGGGTGAACAAGAGTACAAAGAAAAGGAAATAAACTGTGAAACATGTAAGTGAAAAATAAGAAAGGACTTGTAGACAAAAAATAGGGCAACGCAATCAAAAAGCACAGAAATCCCAACATGTTACATAGGCCCAAAAAGTAACTGACAGTTCCAGCTGGAGAAGCAGTCTAAATAGAATCAGCTGACCCTGACAGTAACAGTTATGTTCTTAGTTCTGTAAACACGAGTTTAACCAAGCAAAAAAGCCTACTTAATTTAAATACAATGGTTACACAAGGTAAATTGTCTTTTGTATTGTGTTTGCAGGATCAAAGAGCTAAGACCAGAGATAACAATTTTATTGTCTTAAATAAAACACATTTAATTTACTTTCCTATTTCATAAGGGGTGCCTCTATATTTTTTTCAGTTATCATAAAATTAATAGCACTCTATGCTATGCTGCTTCATTTTCTTAAGGTATTAGAAATCTATGGAAAGAGGAAATAACTAGAACACTATGACAGCAAAACCAGAGACTGACGGTCATATTACAAAGAATATAATGCAAATGTTTGAAGAAAAAAGATACAACCACCATGGGTTTTTCAAATAAGACATATCCATTTGCTTCTTTTAAAGCTTTAGCAGCTGCTTTTTCATTAGGAAGTCCAATGAAAGCCTGTCCCTTCATACGGCCTTCTTTCATCAAACGTATGTCAAACCTAGAGGCGGAATTGGGAATTATTCATGTTTAACCACACTTTCACATTTCACAGTACAAATATAATTCTCATGCTTCAAGTTGGAGAAATAGCAGAAATGGGAGCAGAGCCTACAAGCAGGAATTATGCCATTAGAGACCATTTTGCCTGGGGGAACCATTTAGTAAAAAGTGACATTAGACTGCAGGATGGCAAACTGGTGTGCAACTGTAGTAAATATGACATATGCAAAATGATCATATACACACAATCATCTACCCTGTTTGTTCTGTGTTGCTCAGCCAATAAACAGTAAATTTGGTAACAAAAATATAAGGGCAAAACTGCGAGGTCTTCAGATATTGTTAAAAAAATAACTCTATTTCTGTACTTGTAATAAATGAAGATTTTCAAGTGAAACATATTTTTTCTTTATGCAGAAGCATGAAGAAAAAAATAAAGATAACCAGTTTTTAAAATCACAATTTTCACCAGTATTATAGAAGTTAACATAAAAAGCTTAATTTTAACCAAGTACCACACTAACTTACATATTTCGTTCCACTTCTGACTGGAAGTCAACATATCTTCCAAAAATGAACTTGAGATCCTGAAATTAAAAGGTAGGTATAAGAGGAAAGCCAGTAAAAATCCCTTTTGATAATATTTGCTTGTTTACCTACCTTTTCTTGAACTTGTTTAGCTAAATTCTTCACGTATATCCTGCAGTTTGGATCACCTGGCTCATAGTTTTTGAAAACAGAAAATTTTTCCATTTCTTGAAGAAGACAGAAAAACAGACAATGTTTTAGCTCATTTACTTACTTTATATTTTTGCTCAGTATAAAATAACTAAATTTAATATATGGTCAATTAATAAAGGAAATACTTATTTAAACTATTGATTGCAACAAATCAAAAAACTATTATTAGATAACTTATTCTCACAGTTATACCGTCTCTAGAAAGTCTGTTTTTTTCTAGATCCCTTCTAGAAATAAATTCTGATGGTATTTCATCCTCCTCCTCTTCTGTTTCCATTTTATCATTTGAGCTAGGAGCTGGGAAAATCCTTCCAAAGCCTGTATTATTGATTTCTTCTGTGGTTGCATAAAGGTCTGAAATTTCAACACATTATGTAAGTGGTTTGTATGTTTATTCACAAGAGGATCAACAGCAAGCAAAGGAAGTACACTCCTTTCAGTAACGTTTTAATATAGTAGACTTTGTAAAGCAATTTGAACACATCCTTAAAGAAACATGTCTTAATCCCTTGATTGACAAACACATCTGCTCTATTTGGTCCTATAAAATCAACCGTACTACAAATAAACGCCATGGCACCTGCTAGTTAAGGTAAAACTAGCCTTGCTGTTCAAGCCTGTATCCATTTCAATGGTTTATCTAATTTTCATTCAAAGAAGCTGCATATTACTGTAAAGTGCCAAGAAACACAGACTGACCATAACCCTGTAAGAAACCATCACACCTCACTGATATTATTGCCCAGCATTTTTATAGCAGATAATCAGTGCATCACAGAGGAGCTGGCAATCACTTCATTGCTGCTCTCTAAGAGCTGGAAAAGGAAAATCTGAAATTAGCCTCATAGACTCATTTATACTATATAATATTGACACTGTATTTGTAACATATTTGCTAAAAGCACCTTAACATTTAAAACAGAATGCAATGCACCATAAACCCACAGATCACATTGGAGG